TTCCCCTCGGATATGGATACTTTGGAGTTGGATCGCCGCTTAGACCTCCGCCGCCTTTGCCACCTTCTTCAATGGGAGGGGCTTCAGCCGGTGCCGGGAGCTATGGCCTGGGACCAGGACAAGGGCCAGTACCAATACCAATACCAGTACCACAATTTGGCTAAGCAGGAACGGAGGCAACAACATAGAACGGTTGCCCAAGTAAACACCGCACAGCAGACAAAGTAAAAGAAAACAATACAATTTTAATTGAAAAGTACGGAACCAAAGAAAAAAGTAAACCAAACCCAAAGAGACACACATACAATACATTCGGCTGGCCCGCCTTAGGGAGGTCTAAGTACATACATTATATTCTGCAATTTAATGAAATCATCTTTTCTGAATCAGTACATATCTTACAGTATTTCCATTACATACCATTACATTTTTCACATTTTTGTTAGATTGAAATAGCGTCCATCAATTAAGATAAATAAAATAAATAAAATCCATCTTGTTTGCTTTTCGAACTAGACTCCACAGTAACGAGAGTCGACAAAAAGGGTTACAACCCCACACACACACACACACACACACATATGGACTTTTATCCATTAACGCCAAGAGAAAAACTCCACAACCAATCTGCATAAACAAACTCATCATCAGCATATCCTTTACCCTCACCATCACAGCAGGAGCAGGAGCAGGAGCAGAAGGAGCAACCGTAGTCTCCAGCATTTGTTTTGATTCCATCATAAACCATAAGATAGCTGCAGACATGGATGCCTGATGAAGTGGTTGCAAGTTGCCCAAGGAGCAGGCAGCAGGCAGCAGGCAGTAGTCGGATGGCAACGGGCTTGCCTCAATTGTTTGGCAAATAAATGCCCGGCAGCATAATGGATGGCCATGGTCAGCTCGGTATTCCGAGATCCGTGCATAGCAGCAGCAAAGCAGTCCGTTTCGGTTATTATTTTTATATAACTTGTGAAAATAATAATAGAGCTTTGCCCAGAGGGCGTGGCAGCTAGAACGGAGGCGAAACAAACAAACAAATACTCGAAGCGGAGGACAGTTGTATAAACAGAAGTGTGAAAGTGCCAGATAGTGAAGAGATCTGGGATCGCCGATTGTCCGGCATGGCATCCACCCATACTACTCGTATGTAAGAACGTTGAGGCGTTGACGTTGACTCCTGTTCATCCCAATCCTCGATTCGGTCTGGTCCCGGACTTTATTTGTGTTTGTGCTATGGCAACAATGAACAGCAGAGAGGTCCAGGTGTTGATGCTACCTCTATTTTTGTTTTCTTTAGAACAACTTTCGCTGACCGGAAACGGAAATTAAATGCATAAGTTTTTCCCACCAGCCCCAGCATCGTACGTTCCCACTTCTTATCTAACTTCAAAAAGACAAGACAAGGCCACTTCAGATTGATAAATAGTCTTGAACAAGTTTTCTTGGCAAATTAAATTTCGACAGACGTTGGTCAGCAACAGTCGATGACTCACAAGTGTAGTATTGGACACTACAGTTGGCAACGGGGATGTAGCTCAGATGGTAGAGCGCTCGCTTAGCATGTGAGAGGTACGGGGATCGATGCCCCGCATCTCCAAAATTAATGTTGTACATTTATTTTTTAACAAAATTTCTTTTTTCTATAATTATCTTCATTTTTAATACTATACATACATACTTGTGTGGGCCAATTTTTTTCTTCAAAATTTAGCTTGCACCATTTACATATTTTACTTTGAATTGCAAGCAAGCAAAAAGCATATAGCCGGGCTCAACCGGGATTTGAACCCGGGACCTCTCGCACCCAAAGCGAGAATCATACCCCTAGACCATTGAGCCTCATGCCATGTTGTGCGCTCTATTATATTTTTGTGGCCACTCTGGCAAACTCTTGTGCCGACAATAAATGGTTTTAGATAGCAGTAAATATACATACGGGTTTTCAATAAAAATTAAATATATGTTGCTTTATTCAAAATGCCTAAACAAAAAACTTAGCGTCTCTTCCAGATACCCCCACCGTAACCGCCGCCACCAAAACCTCCAGAAAAGGCGCCTGCAGAGCTGTAGGCCGAGGCATAGCTTCCGGAATATCCCCCACCGTAGCCGCCGAAACCGCCTCCTCCGAATCCTCCCAGCCCACCCAGGCCACCCAGACCACCCTTCCATCCGTGCTTGAATGGCACAACAACTGGCTGTGGCACTGGGACTGGAATAGGCTGTGGAACCGCAACTGGTACGGGAATAGGCTGAGGCACTGGAACGGGCTGGGCCACGGGATAGGGCACATAGCTGGTGTACACAGGGGAGTAGCCGCCCCCTCCGAGCTTTCCGCCAAAACTGTGGGAGCTACTAAGGCCCAGGCATAGCAGCAGCGTTAAGCCCACGATTGTAGCCTGAAAGCAATATGTTGATCAAACAAGTCCGCAATGTGAGACAACCATATCCACTTACTGTACTTGTTCTCATGACGTCTATTGGTGCTTCTAAACGTGGCCAACGTCTAAACTGCCGTATATATAGCAACCTAAAGCCACTTCCTGTACTTCCTTTTGGCGACGAGTTCAAAGAACTGCCAAAAACTTGATCCACAACCAGTTCTTGTCGAACAGAACCATTCAATTTTTATTGTGCCAAAATTTAGTCGCAGCAACTAATGCAAAAATATAACAACTCGTGTGAAAAACATTGAAAACGGTTAAGTTGATGGGGTTGAAGGTCGTCCGTGCCGTGTTCCGGGACTGGGCTTTTGGGTGGGCGTAAGTTGATACAGAGATGTTGGTATAAAAACTGAACAGTCCGTTGGTTAGACAATTCAGTCAAGTTCAAGACAAATCAGAAACATGTTGAAGATCAGCTGTTCGGTGAGTAGCTTTGCTTTGGACCATCTTAAAGATGCACAATTATTAACGGACATTCTGTCCTTTGGCAGTTGGTTGTGCTGTTGTCGCTCTGCGCCTGCAGTTACGCCCAATACCAGTATCCCCAGCAGCGCCCGGCCCTAGAAACAGCCCCAGCAGCCGGAGGTGAGCCCACTGGCGGGCCTGTGGAAAATCGTATTATACCCCTGGGTGGTCTGCTCGGCGGAGGAGGAGGAGGAGGTGGCTTACTCGGTGGCGGCGGAGGGGGGGGTGGCCTGTTTGGCAACCTATTGGGTGGTCTTTTGGGCGGAAATAATGCTCGCCCACCGCCACCAGCGCCAGCGCCATACCCAGTACCTGTTCCCTCGTACGGAGGAGGATTCGGCGGCGGGTATCCTGGCGGATTTGGAGGTGGATTCGGCGGCGGTTATCCAGGCGGATTTGGAGGCGGTTATACAGGTGGCTACCCAGGCGGATTTGGAGGTGGTTATGGCAATCCCTATGGCGGCTACTACGGCTAGAAGGCGTTGTTTTTCGGTCAGCCCTTGACTACTCCAAGTATTACCCGCTGTTAAAAATGTTTTCGAGATAATTTTAAGTTGTTGACCATTATATTAAAATTCACGTGAAAAATCAAATCACTTCCGGCTTGTTCTCACTTTGTCTGCCCGTTTCACACATGGGGATGTAGCTCAGATGGTAGAGCGCTCGCTTAGCATGTGAGAGGTACGGGGATCGATGCCCCGCATCTCCAAACAGTGTTTTTCTTCTATTTTAGTGGTAACAAGATTACAGAAACACTTTCCTCTTGATTGTGATTTGATTTTATAGTTACTTGTTTTAGTTGTTCGTGCTATTTGGCTCACATATAGAAAACTGTTATCTGGGCATGACTCGGCAAGAGGCTCAATGGTCTAGGGGTATGATTCTCGCTTTGGGTGCGAGAGGTCCCGGGTTCAAATCCCGGTTGAGCCCGGCTAAACTTTTTTATCAATACTTAATATAAATTGATAAACTAAATTGCTATTTTTCATCATTCAAATAATAACTCTAACCAAAAAAAGAAGATTCGTACGCTAGATCTCTATAAATTTCGCAATACAGATTACCTGAAGCAATATTTTATTTTTCAGAGTGTTCGTACATATATTATTTAATGAAAGAATTATAACAGCCAGGTTGAGTATAACGAGACTAGGTGGCTAGGACAACACCCTTTGTGCCGCCGCGAGAAGAGCTATCTTCCAAATTTATTTGATTTCATGCTGTCAAAAGTATTGCATATTTATTTCTGATCTGCAAAATCGTTAAGAATAAGGGCAATTAATCTGAATATTAATCTAAATCAAAAAAGGTTTGTTCTGTTTCCGCCCGGGTTCGAACCGGGGACCTTGTGCGTGTGAAGCACACGTGATAACCACTACACTACGGAAACCTGCTGACGTCCAATAGTCAAACGGCCGCCATACAGTTGAGTAATACAGCGCCATCTAGCTCACAAATTGCACATTATTAAAATTTCATTATATTTCGATAGATATATCGATAATGCCATTACCTATCAATAGCTGCATCGCTAATTTCATTATATATCGATAGTGGATGGTAGCACAATTGCCGCCAAATTCAAATAAAATATACATAAATATATCTGGTTTTTTTGAATATATGAACAATACGATTCGAAAAATGCACGAACTCGAGTACAAAACTAGCATATAAAGGATACATAAAATAAGACTTTTTATATTTTATCGAGTGAGCAGATTAAGTAGGCTGACTATTGGGTTGCCCTCTCTGTTTGAAATTGGGCTGAAAAATACTTTTTCCCAACCCATTCTTAAAACCAAGAGCATAGAAAGCGAAAGAAAGCTACTTTTAACGCCACTTCATGAGCACTGCAACTCGATCATCGTAACCGTAAGGTTTGTGAGTTTTAAACACCAGGCTCATACGAGTAGCGCCCAGGGTTCTTAAATCATAGAAAGCATACCCGAATTTGTAAATGTTTCATTTCTATAGATAACTTTATTTTATGAATGGGGAAATGAGTCTACAACTAAATAACAATTTTGGGTGGATGTGGATTCTAATGGCAAGCACATGATATTCCCTTATTCTATTGACCTATTGACATTCTCATTTGCCCCAGAGGCCACCTCCGAAGCCACCGCCTCCATAGCTCCCTCCGCTGCTATGATGACTTTCGTGATGACTTTCGTGAAATTCGTGGTGCTCATAGCCACTGTTGCTGCCATACCCGCCGCCGCCGTACCCGCCGCCATACCCGCCGCCATAGCCGCCGCCGCCATATCCTGCTCCGATTCCAGCGCCAATGCTAGCACCAACACCACCGCCGAATCCCAGTCCACCTCCGCTCAGAGCATGCTTCAGGCCCAGTAATTTAGGAGTGCGCACCTTGAGCCCCACAAAGCCGGCATGGGGTCCTTTAAAAGCCAGCAATTTGATCTTTCCGGCTGAGGTTCCTTGCAGCAGAAACAGAAAGCATACGCCCAGGATCAGGAGTAGATGGTTTTGATGGCACTGTTATCGAAAGAAAGATAAGAAAGATTAATATTTATATTTCATTAGATCCACAGTAAGTCACAATCACTTTACGAGTCTCTTTGAATCCATAAAAATCACTTACAATGATTTGCATTTTCACTTTTGATGATGTTTTAACGCCTCTTTAATTGATTAAGTCTGTTTTTGGCCAAAGATCAGAGGTCTTTATTTGAAAATTGCTTTATCTAGTTGTAAAAACTTCAAGTTCAAATGTGTGGGCCGGCGGATGACGAGGCTGGTCTCTTGGCTGGAACGCGTGTTCAATTGAAGCGGCTGCGAGGCAAGCGACGAGTTTTTATCTGTCTGACGGTTTTTCTGCGCGCGTCTCGAATCGCCCTTATGCAATCGGCCGCCGCTAAAGAGCTCTTGTCTGTCTTTTGTTGTTGCTGCTGCTGTGAACTTCAGGTTGTGTCTTATATTTGCCTTATGCACATGATTTGCCCCTGAAAATTTCAGGTTTTTTGAGAGCATACACACAAAATTGGGCATGAGAAAAGAAATGAAAAAAATTGAATGAACAAGCGAATGTCAATGGGAAATCAGCCTGCGATACATGTGCTAATTTCCAAAAAAATGACCAAATTACAAAGTATGAAATACGTTATAATAATCTTCATGTTCAGAACCAAAACAGAGAGGGCCTTACCCAGATAGTGCTCGGCTTATCAAACACATGTGAAGCCCAAAAGGTTGGAAATTGATAAAGAGTGAATCATTTTGGGTATTTACGTTTTATTGACCTCCATCAAATTAAAAGCCAAATAAAGAAATCAAACAAAACACGGTTAGAGCCAGAAATTTCCAGCATTAAGCCAAAACAAATATGCATCTGTCTGTTTCCCCTCACTCATCGGCCATACCCAAAGGGGTATCCGAATCCGCCATAGCCGGAGGATCCGTAGCTGTTTTGCTGATTACTGAACTGATTGTACTGCTGTCGATAGCCCCCGTATCCTCCATATCCGCCAAATCCGCCATATCCGCCATATCCGCCATATCCGCCATATCCGCCATATCCGCCATACCCGCCATAGGGCGATCCGAATCCTTGCTGGTATCCAGTACTACTACTCGCTCCGGCACTGGCACTGGACGAGGCATAACTGCCGCCATAGCCCGAGTAGGGAGCAAAACCATAGCCAAATCCTGATCCTTGGCCCCACTGGGGGGCACTCATCACTTCGAGACACAGGCCGCAGAGCAGGAAGGACAGCGCAAAAAACTAAAGGCGAGAGTGTTCAAGAATACGAATTAGTGGTTTAGTTGGAGCGACTAAATATTTGTGTACACCCACCTTCATGGTCAGCAAGCAACTCAATGGAGTCTGATTAAAGTTTGCCATTCTTATAGTCGCCGCAAAACGGAAATACGCCTCAAAGTAATTACAATAATGGGAAACATAATTATAGAACAAATGTGAAGACATAATCATTAGTATAATATTCATCAAGTACTAGTACTATCTGAGATACTTGTTATAGATCTATGTTTTTTTTACCAAACCATCTTAGACCTTCATATCGATTGAATCCACACAATATACCATGTACCTTTCTCAGTTCAATTGAAGTTTCAAAGCTATAAACATTATCTGGGTTTACTTGTAAGATCTTTTCCTTAAAAATTTCATCAACATTCAGGTCGTTTACAACCCGTTCACAGAACTAATTAGGATTTTATTTATTTCCCCCCGCAGATCTATCATTGTCGTACATCTTCAGCGCTGTCTTTGGATCCAACTACAACTTCCTGACTAGCAATGATGATGCTGTGGGTCGTATGGTATCTCTCTATCGTATGGTAGGTAACCCCGCTGACGTCAAGCGATAATCAGCTTGAGGGTGAATAAACTTTGAAACGAAAGTGAAGGCATAACCATAGACCAGAATAAATAAGAGGAGGAGCCACATGCACATATCAGACATATAGTTAGTCATATACTTACAATACATGGCAGCAAGTGCTAATGAGCAGAAAGAGTGCGGGTGAGTGTGGGTCGACAATGGAGGCATATGCTTCACTGCACGTTCTGTGAAAAAGTTTGTTGCCTAAGTCATTTGTCTTGGCCCGTTGTCAGTGGATTTTGAATGGCCCCTGAATGGCATACCCTAACTGGCGGGCTATCTTTGACTTGGCAATGTGTTTGTAAGAATAGAATGGATTGGCAGTTGGAAACAGAATAGGTCGTATAGGAATGGATAATATAGTAAATAGGATAATAGATTACTTAACAAAAGAACAACTGTCTTATTTTAATTGGTGTGTATACAAATCAGTAGCTTTGGAGGACATCTCGGGGGCAAAGAAAAAACATCTTTCTAAAATAGTGTAGCTCCAAATCGTCACAGTGTTCCCTCTACTTGTTGGTCTTGAAAAGCGCCTGGTGATTGTAGATGGTTCAGTGATTATTTTTATTGGGTTTTCCATGATCTTGATCGTCCGGCCCTCAAAAAAAATGATAATTTTGGGCTGGCTGAAAAATTAACGCATTCTGAGGCCCAGTCAAGCAGCGCCGTATTGTCCGCTGCGATTATTATATTGTGTCTTTTGGATCTGGGGGCATTCCCAGATTTCGTCACAAACTGGTTTCGCTTTCGGTCGTGTTTGTTCTGCAATTTGCGTAGAATCCACTTGGCAATGCGTGCCGCGTAGTTGTAGCTTCTTGCTGAGATTCGGATTCGGGGTATAAAAGCTTCGGGCACTTCACAATTGCAATTTAGTTTCATACAAGAAGCCCTCGATATCGGCATGTCTCTGTTTCGTGTGAGTTGTGTAAGTGTTTCTCTGCGCTTGGACCCCTCGTTGGGATGCACCTGCTCATTGGTTTTGCTCTCCTCTTTAGCTGCTGGTCGTTTTGCTGGTCGTCGGTCATGGTCAGGCGGCACCTGCTCCAGCCCCCGTCAAGGCTGAGGGACGCACTTTTGGCCTCTTGGGCGGCGGATTCGGTGGGAGCGTTGGACTCAGCGCTGGAGTTGGCCTAGGCGGAGGCCTGTACAGCGGCTTTGGAGGCGGCGGCTACCCAGGTGGTTATGCTAGTGGCTATCCAGGAGGCTACGGTGGTGGTTATTCTGGCTATCCCGGAGGATACGGCGGCGGTTATTCTGGCTATCCTGGCGATGGATACTCTGGCTTTGGACACAGGCCCCATCATCATAATCACGGCGGATTCTATCCCGGCGGCGGGTCATACTACAACCAGGGTGGATCCTACGGAGGTCACTACAGTCAGTCGCAGTACTCCAATGGGTACCATAACGGGGGCTACGGCGGCGGTGGGGGTTTCTTCGGTTAAACGTAAACCTCTGCTGAGGCTGTGATCCATCTGTCTAGTTAAGTGCCTTATTATTTGTACGAGTACCTCCGGCAAAGATTGTAAAATACACAAAAAAAAACAAAATATTAAGTTCGAAATCCGGTTTCTCTGGGAATACATACTATTGTCCTTGGGGCTACTTTTTTGCGGTTCCCTCGCTCTTTTAATGTACCGAACGAGACGTGCATAAATTTAATGGGCATAGATCCGAGATTTACGAGTATGTGTGTGGCATGGGGCATGACTAAGCTATTGCCTGGGCATGGTCTGGGGATTTCCTCAACCCGATCTTTCTTACGCTAAAGGGAACGCATGTTGGCCAAACTAAAATGATTATTTTTATAAGTTTTGGTCTGAAATTTTGCTACCAATTGAACCATTTCCTTATGGCAATTGCGTGCACATTCAATTAAATTTATTATTTGTTCTTACGCCTTGGATTTTGACTGTAAAATGTATATATACATTTTAATCATTCTAAGACATATTTGGCCGAGTGAATCTGTATCTAAATTTTTGTTCGGAATTTATATGTACAGTGGGGGACACATGTGAATACATGCTTATCACTTTTCACTTTAAGAGCCTGTAAAATCTTTAAAAACGAATCAACCCTTGTGATTTTTTTTTTAAGATTCTTTAATTTAGTGAGAATGAAAAAAGAAAATAATTTCAATTCAATTCCTATTCCTTAAGAGATTTTAATTTGTTCAAAAAAGAGCATGTATCCACTTTTGCACGTTTCAAATTTTTTGACTTTAATAATTTTTTTAAAATATTTTGTCCAAAGGGCATTAGCTTTTATCACATTCTGAATAAGTTTTGGCATTCTCTCGACTAAATTTAGTAGGTTATGGCAAGGTATCATGCGCCACTCCGACCTCACGCGCTCCCAAAGACTCACCCAATCCCTTTGGTGCAGACTCGTACTTTTCCAATGTTTTTTAAACAGAGCCCATCGATTTTCAATGGGATTTAGATCTGGGCTATAGAGAAGGCCACTGGATTAAGTGAAAACTTGAATTATTGGGACGCTTTTTCACGAATTTCGCCTTGTGCGTCGGGCTACCGTCTGGCTGGAAAGTGATCTCGGATATGGGGAAGACACATTTGTCTATAAAATTTGACAAAATGGGTTCCTAAATATGAAGATAATATTCTTTCTTCATTATTCCATAGACTTTAACCAATTGGAGAACGTTCCATGAGTGGACGCTCTGCGTACGATCGGGCTGACACCGTATATGTACTTGATAAAGTAGGGTCTAAGGGTTGGGGCCCTGTCCCTATATTGCTTCTCTTGTTGGTTCTTTGGAAAATCTTTCAGTCAGCTGCCCGATCAAGAAAGTGGTTTCTCAAATTGGTAAAAATCAAATCCTAATGTTCATACATTCAGTGGAAAGACTTAGAACAAAAGATTGAAGCTAGGTCTAGTACTTCCATCTGTTTTGGAAAAAGCTATTAAATTTTTCTTAAAACTGATATCTAAGGATGATCCAGAGATACGTTTTCACATTTCACATTTCAAAACATCCAAGAGAAGTAACGTATTTTTCAAACACAGCTAAAGATTAAGTGATAGGAATACTTTCAAGTAAAATAATAGTGCAAGATATAAGTATTGGGATATTGATACTAAAGTTAAAACAAACAGAAAAATGCGGAGACAATTTGAGTATATAGGGCTGTTGTTGAAAGTGAACAGACTAATCTTTTTCTGATGACATTTTTTGATTCAATAGATCTCATCATTCAGCAACTAAAATGGAGTTTTGAAGCCCTTCATAATGTTTCAGTGCAAACCAAATATATCCCGCTTTCTACAATAAGTTTTCTTGAATTTTTGCTCGAGATCAAATTTTTCTCGACACGACGCTGATCGTTTCCTGCTGAGTACTTGTGGAGCACTTAATACCTGATTATATATTTGATTTGTAGATATAGCATTTGTAATCTTGGTGTTTTGTTTTTAATTCGTTCTTATTTTATTTCCTAACAGATACTCGTAATCACATTTTAACTACATCTCTACACATAGTATGAATGGGATGGGTGAATGACCGTGAGGGGTGGCTCATCCGTAGCTACTCCGCTGATTGCTCCTCGACCGGTAGGCGCCCGTTTGGTAGACCGGTTGCACCTGTCCTGTGAGCTGTTGGATGATCCCATTCACAGTGGTTGCTACGCCGCCAACCAGTTGGGCAGGCGTCACAGGCGGCTGCAAAGGAGAGTGTGAGAGGGAGGGATTCATGTTCATTCATCGATAGTCACGACTTACCGCTCCAGCTGAATCGTAGTAGACCCGATTGGGGACGGGTCGGCGCACTGGAGGCGCGGCATAGCTGGGATCCACGGCAGGATCGCTCTGTAAGTCCCCGCCGGCCGAAGGAGGACGGATAGGATCCGACAGGGGAACACCCGGCACAGTCGCGGCTCCAAGCACACCAGGAGCGAACAACGACAGCCACGTGGCGAAGGGAGCATACGGACGGACTGGCACGGGGTAGGGTGCCACGGGTGGTGGAATGGGATCTGAGAGCAGACCACCACCAAGACCACCGCCAAGACCACCGCCAAAACCACCTCCCAGACCGCCTCCGCCACGACATCCTCCTTGATAGACTTTGTACACATTCACATCGAAGAGGAAACGTCCTTGCTCGTCCGGATCCTTCTGGCCGCTCTTGACATCGCGTCCAAAGGGTGAGCAGGGATTGCCGCCTCCATATCCGCCATATCCGCCATAACCGCCGTATCCGCCATATCCGCCATACCCGCCGTATCCCAGATAAGGACGAGCCAATTTCCGGAGCTTCTTCTTGAGCAGCAAAGTCCTCTCATCACCGCCGGACTCATCGAGTTCCTGGTTAGATGCGCCCGCAAACTTGGCATTCTCCGTGTCCGATTTGGTAGCAGCGGTGGCACCGCTCTCCCGCGAGTGTCGGTTGCTCTGGGATTGAGGGACGGTGTTGTATGAGTAAGGCGAGGGCCTTCTCCTGGGATAATCGTAGCTGTAGCTCCGTGAATAGGCCACGGAGCAGCTGAGGAGGGCTCCTAGAAGGAGAACAAGCAGTAGCTGCATGTCGAGGATACGCGGATTCACTGAATCGAAGACTTCTGCTCGGTTGGCTGGATGGGCACGAACTATTCCTCTACTGTGGAGCATGCCCCAACTTATCACCTCGCCGATGTGCAAAAAAAACAACTCCAATTTGGCAAATTTGTTGCTCTTCCCTTAGAAGGCAGCTCGGCAGACACTGACGATTGCATAATGCCCTTTTTTTATTGGCTCCCATTTTTCCAGCGCATTGTTTTGATATGGTAATCTAGGCCGCCCACCCAACAAAACCCAAGCCCAACCGCCGGCATCATCATCATTATACGCGCCCACATGTGGCACAATAATAGCAAAGGGAAACCAGCAACAAAAAACATGTTACACTCTGCGACTCGTGTGCATTGACCTGTGTCAGCCAACGCTGGCAGCTCTGAAGCTCTCACCCGTTGTAGTTTTTGGCCAAAAACGTATTTCTGCCAAAAATGTAATACAAAAAGTGGGTCAATGTCGCATGACGCTTCTGCCGCTGCTCTGGGAATGAATCTAATTAGTTGTGGGGGGATTTACGGATCCATCTAACATTAATCACATTTTTTTAAGTTGGAAGCACTATCATTTCACGAAATCAGTTGACAACGGATCGTATTAGATTTTCTTTGAGTCTTCAGCTAAAGATTTACATTAAAGTTTGGGAAAGCTTAATCTGTTTACATATATTACTATGAATCATGGTGGTGTAATGCAGATAACTACATTTTACGTTGATATGCCATGACTGCACCATCAAGTGGCTCATGCGACACCAAACCGGAGCATGACGACCCAAAAGAAGAATTTTGGACAAATATTTGAGGAATATAGAACTTAACTAACTACAAGAGCCAAGCATGCATTCAAAATTAAAAATATTATGGTACATCTCTTAATCTGCTTAATTTCATAATTAAAAGTACCCATAATTAAAAGGACTCACTAGATTTAAGTACACACACTCCATATGCTGGTATATCATATACAATTTACTCAAAGCACACATAAAATCGTTAGGCCTTATAATAAAATTATTTAAACTTATAACTAGTAAAACAAAGCTGTACAAAATGGGAAGAGATAGACCCAGCTGCCTCTGTTCAGAGATTGGAACTAGGATCCGTATCCAGATAGCTTGTATCTAGATAATATAACTTAAAGACTAATCTCGGAAGTCTGTGCGTTGTATGTGAGGCGCTTCCACTTCCATGCCTCTGGTTAGACAGCCATTTTGGGTTTATTAGCCTCGGCCCGTTTGCGCATTGCCCTCAAACGCTGTGTGCAGTAGACGCGCAGAAAGATGGCTACGAAAACGATGAGAACACCAAAGATGCCCAGAGCCGACACGCTGTGGTGGTAGATGAAACAGGAGAGCATGATGGCTACGGCCTGTGGGGCAAAGGGTAAAACCGATAGAGTGGTTCTGGAGCAGCAGACAGTTGAGTAAACAGAGACGAAGACTCACCTGACGCAGCGTCATAATGATGGTAAACACAACTGGGCCGAAGACATCAATTGTGTGATAAATAAACAATTGCCCGACTGCTGAGCAAATGGAGAGCACAACCATATCAAAAACGAATTTCGGATGCTAAAAATAAGACACTTAATACGTGAGGTAGGACTAAATATAATCGTGTTTGGACATATATACCTCTGTGGCAAAGGACAGGGAGTCCATGAATCCGCCCTGCATCGACAGCGAGGCGCCAGTGAAGATCGAGGAGAACAGATTAACGCCGCACATCATCTGAAGGGAGGTCATACCGTAGCTCTTGAACAGCGAGCCCTGCCAATTGGCTGTGAAGCTATCGAAGACCATGTACAAAGAGAGCAGGAATACGCCCGTTAAGGTGGTCACTCCACTGGCTTTGTTGCTGTCTGCCGACCCACTCATGAAAAAGATCATGCCCAGCGAGATTAGCACAGCTGTGGCATACTCGTAAGATTCATACTTGGCCTTCGACATGATCTTGCCCATCACCATGACAGGGATTATTTTGCACGACTTGGCCAGCACCTGAGTGGGAAAGTTGACAAATTTAAGAGCCTCATACTGGAACCAGGCGCTCATTATGTTCGAGAACGAGGCGAAGGAGTACTTGTAAAGCGGTGCTCGGTGTCGTGTGGGCGAGGGCTGCCATTGCAGATAGATGAGGGCCACCATAAAGGCTAGCAATCGGTTGGCAAACACCAGAAATTGCGAATCTTTGAACTTGGAACTCTCACCAGCAAAATTCAGATATTTCTGTGTCATGATCTTCTCCTGCAAAACGCCCCAGGTCAAATAGGACACCATTAGGCCGCCAAAGCACCAAAGCAGCTGCACAGCCTCCTGGGAACTCGTGCGCTTGACCGCCACAGATCCTGTAGATCTTTCCTTATCAGCTGTACTGGCCGCAACATCCAGTGGCTCGTAGGTGGAGTTGCCTGTAATGCACATGTTGATGGCCGTGTGCAGAATGGTCTTGTTGCCTCTTTCGAGGTAGCCGGTGCGTGCCACATATTTGTATATGAGATAGCCGGGTACAAAGACGCAACTGTAGCCGAAGCAGTTAACCAACAGTTTTAGAAGCCAGGCATAGTCGGAGTTCTGGGCATCCAGAATCTGCGATAGCGTCACATCCTTGGTGTAGAAGCCGCCAAGCGAGGCACGCAACAGGTCCGAAAAGAAGTGTATAACCAGCAAGCTGACCACGATAAAGGAGCTGGAATGGTCATCATTAGTCGGGGAGCAAATTGTTGATATATCTGTATGTACCCACCATATAATTAGCTCCGGAACTCGATTACTCATTTTGTACACGTGCATGTCCCTCTTCTGCTGACACGTCGAATTCTGTATTCCAGATTGAACTTCTTTAATAAGAATTGAGCGAGCGGTCACGCCTGGGGGCGAATGAATATTTGCCGGCAAACGCAAGTCAAGTGTCAGAGGTTCAATAACCGCTCAAACTAGTTTTTGCATAATGTGCTCCACGCCAAAAAGAACAGCAGCATCAGCAATTTATTCTGTTGAAGTTTGTTTATACAGCCGCGGAGGCCGTTTGTCGGGTTGGAGTCTATTGAATGTGCTATGTCTTCTGCTCCAGACGGGTGGCCGGGTTCTGGTTCTGGGAATTGGCTGCTGCTGGCCGGCAGCCAGCTTTAATTTAGGGCCAGCTAAACAGCTATTTACACAAATTTCCAAATTCCATTTCACCCACTGAAAGGTCGGCAGCACTGTAGGGTGGGGGTGGGGGTGGGAACTCGGTCGGAGTAATAGAAATATACCAAAATACACCGTCTCATTTAAAAAATATACCGTAAATATACTGACGAACTCAATATAGCGTCTCGAAGAACGAACTTAGCCCGCTTAAGCCACCTCTATTTAAATAGTTCAACCAGTTGAGGTAAATGACGGAAAATATTAACTATTGTAAAGTCTTCTTTTCCTCTGAACTTAAAAAAAAATAACGATACCTTTTACCTGAACTGCGCCAAAACTAGTCAATTTTCATTTTTTTTGGTGGAATATTAAAAAACCTCTTGGTATGCCTCGATTGGAATGAAAAAGAGGGTATGGACGAGTACAAGGTAACGTAAAGTGTGAGACAAAGTGTGACCGCAGTATTTTTATATATACCAATTCAAAATGTTGCTAGCCATGTTGAATGTTGCAAAGGCCCCCATATTAGGCCCTCAATTAATTTAATTCAGAGGAAACCCCACTAACAGATAAGATTATCTACTAAAGAATCTATTGATTTTGCCTGTTGTCCATAAGCTATTGAAATAGGCCATTCAAAATAAAGACTCATTTGTTCGTTGCAGGAGAGTGTGACCGTCTGACTCTCAAAAATACCGCAAATGTACCGATGAAAAAAGACAAACATTTAACCCGCCTTAATTTAAACAGGGGAACAAGATTTGTCTATTTCAATATTTCTATCGCTACAAAGTTATTCCTTATAATTAATGCACTACTCATCACAAAATATTATTGATTACCACATTCAATATTTCCTAGATATTTTCCAAGATGTTTGAAATGTAATTTATAATGTCTCTTTTAGAGATTGATACATAAGTGTTTCACATAGGTCATTCATTGGATATGATTTCTGTATATATGTTTGTATATCTCGAGCCCGATAAGTACTATTGGTCTCTATAAGAAGGACATAAGATGCAAAATTAAAAATATTTTCTGCATTTATTGAAGCCTGAGGTGGCAAACATTTCCCCATTAATAATATGCTGTAATATGCCTATCCAATGTTTAATGACTTGTTCTCCTTTTGGCTTTTTTACCAGTGGGCAACGCCAGCTGGTTTGACAATTGCAACAAATGCGGAGGAATAAACGTATTTTAACTATTGGCCATATAATCATAAATAAATTTATCATGTTTCCGAATATCCAAACTTTAATATTTGCTTATCAATAATCTCATCTTTCGCTATACTGCGTGTAGATAAGTAAATAAATAATTCAAAAAAATTACCTCTAACCCAAAACACCAAAACGTTTAGCAAAAAACAAATACAGTAGAATCCGGTTATAATGACACTCAAGGGACCGACGATTTTATGTCGTTATACCCGGAAGACGCTCTAACCAAATTTTATGGGGACCAACCAAGTCATCGAATTTTCGTCACAATGACCGGACGTACGCTATAAGCTGAGTTGTTATAGCCGGATTCTACTGTAAATAAATAAATTAGAACTCTTTGTGTAGCCAAATGATTGTGCTGAGGTGAAGACGGGGACTCCCTTACTCATGCGGAATTAATATTATGGGCAATGGTCGGAGGTATATATATACATACATACATAAAAGGTTTTAATATAATGTGGAACACTAACCTATCAAGAGCTCTTGCTAAGGGGTCACAGAGGCTGCATTACTAAACATGTACAGTGGAATAGACTCAAGTGCTTAAAATTAATGTAAATTACCAATTTTTTCAGTATCTTAATATTAAATTGTATTTTTATGAATGTCATCGATACAGATACTTCCAATGGCTTGCAGCCTCTGAGTCTATTCGAATGATTGCCTAAAAAACTAATTTGGCATAGGGTGAAGCAAACAGGAAATAAATCATGGCGCTAAAAATTCTACAGCCCGCTCTTATCCCCCTATTTTGTAAACTTAACTGCTCTAACAAAAAAAACAAAAATTGCATTTAAAACGTAATACACAAAACCAAAGTCTAAAACGAAAAATACATTGTTTTCTATTGATCGCCATGTAAGTTAACCCTTCCCCAAATATATTATACAAACCGAAAAGCTCGCGTGCTCCCCGTGTCACCCACTAAGGGATCAAGCATATGCAGCCATTCAGTTTGTTCTATCGGGAAATATGTTGTTCTTTTCGGTCAATGATCTCGGGTACTTTAAGTTGCTTAAACTACTAATGAATACCGACTAAAACAATAAATGACAACACAAGAAACATAACATTAAATTCGGACTTAGTGGTAAAGGTACGTGCAGTGAGAGATCGCTGTAATTGGGTATCAATATACATACATATATGTATATTTACATAAATTTGTATATTTGTGACCGCCTGTAAAAATGTGTGTATACATATGGCTGAGCCCTGCTCTCTGTTTCGCGGCCAGGATCGTTCAATCGGGACTATTTTGTCCAGAGGCAAAGGTCCGGCCTGTAGCCCCTACGACAGCCTCTGATTCTGAGCTAACACACAATATGGAACGGACTCACTGTGTTTCAGTCCATCTGATATCGTCAACTATGATCCTTGGTCACCAGCACCTACCACTCTTGATGGGTCACACGATCCTCTCCCTCCAGGCAACCCAAGAGACTTAATCCTTTCCAAATAATTATGGCATACTCTTATTTTTCAACCAAAAGGCTGAAATTAAACTTACACGCTATTCTCACTCTTGAATGTTAATTGAATTTAAAATTCCGAAGGGATATTCAGATGTTGTTAAAAATATATCAGATATACAGAAACTGCTTAGCTCTTATAATTCTGATTTCATCCGCAGTTTTCTGCTAATGATCTTCTATTGAGCTTATATTGCATATGGCCATTTCCGCGGGTAGCTAACGTACATATGTACATACGTTCGTCCGCTTTTGATGTACAAAAAAAAAAGATAGAAAACAAACATTTTCCCCTGGTTTTGTTAGCTTTATTTTTGGTACAAAAGATGGGGTTCATCCAATTTTAAGTTTTATAATGATAGGCCTAATCGTGTGGCCGCGAACGTAATCGAAATAGAAGTCGACTTGGCTTGATCTAGTAGTATGGTAATATCTGCAAAACGGAACAGTTAATTTATTTTAAAAGAGGATTAATATAGTTTGCTAACGAATATTTACACAATAAATGATCTCTTTTAGTGTTTTTTAAATTTTTTGTTTTAAATGTTCATCACTTTTCAGTTTAAACGCCTGTAAAATCTGTAAAAATGAATCAATTCTTGTGCTTTTTTTCGTATATTCTTTAATTTAATGTGAAGGAAAAAATACCAATAATTCAAATTCAAAAAGATCGGATTCCTTAAGAATAAGGACTTAATCCAGTGACCTGCTCAATGGCCCAGATCTAAATCCCATTGAAAATCGATGTGCTCTGCTTAAAAAAACATTGGAAGCCATCGAGTCTACATAAAAGGGATTGGATGAGTTTTAGGAGCGCGTTAAGTCGGATTGGCGCATGATTCCTTGAAAACACATACTAAATTTAGTCGAGAGTCGATACTAAAAATTCAGAATTTGATTAAAACTAATGCCCTTTGGAAAAATATTTAAAAAAAATTATTAAAATAAAAAAAGTCCAGACATGCAAAAGTGGATACATCGACTTTTTAGGAAAAAAGTAAAATTTCCTTAGGAAACCGATATCTTAGAATTTAAATTATTGTCTTTTTCCTTTTTCGTTAAATTAAAAAAACCTATGCAACAAAAAATCAATGATTGATTAATTTTTAATGATTTTACAAGCGTTGAAAATTATAAGTGTATCCAAATGTGCTCGCCACTGTATGTACATACATATGTATGTATGTTGACTTTTTTAAAAAACTGTCCATACTACTTCCCCCCAAAATTTGTATAAAATCGATTCAATCGAAATGCAAATCGAATGACGAATATTTTAATAGAATGAGTATAAGAGGGAGTGTGCCACAAGCCCACAATTCAAGTTTGAGTCGTCGGGGGAAACAGACGTACCGCGCTGTCTAAACATGCCGCCAAACAGCGATGTGATCGAATTAGGACCTAGTCCCGACACTACGGACGTGCTCTGCGAAACGGATGCGGGGCCAAAAGGTACCGCCAGTGATTTAAGCACTCTGAAGTCGACAGACGGGCGGAAGTTGGAGCTCGTGTGGATCAACATAATTCTGTTTATCTATGTGCATACGGCCTCTCTGTACGGGATCTGGCTTATGCTCACAACCACGAAGTGGCAAACGGACGTGTTTGCCGTGATTCTTTTTAGTTTAGCTTCCCTGGGGATTACGGCCGGTGCCCATCGGCTGTGGGCGCATCGCACTTATAAGGCAAACGTGGCGGTGCGTCTGATCTTACTGTTCTTCAACACCTTGGCCTTCCAGGACGCCGTGTATTACTGGGCTCGCGACCATCGGCTACACCACAAATGCACGGATACGGATGCCGATCCGTACAACTCGAAGCGAGGCTGGTGGTTCGCACACATCGGTTGGCTGTGCTGCAAGAAACACCCCGACGTGACGGCGAAGGGCAAGTTGATCGATCTGTCCGATCTGCAGCGGGACCCTCTAGTGATGTTCCAGAAGAAGTACTACCTGATCCTGATGCCCATCTTCTGCTTCATCCTCCCCACGCTGGTGCCCGTATACTTCTGGGGCGAGTCCCTCAGCGTTGCTTGGCATGTGCCGGCGCTCACGCGCTGGTGTCTGATGCTTAACGTCGTCTGGCTGCTCAATAGCTCTGGCCACATGCACGGCAAACGCCCCTACGACCGGTCCATCAGCCCCACCAGTCTGGTCTTCCTTATCTGGCTGCGCTACGGCGAGGGGTACCACAACTACCACCACGTCTTCCCGTGGGACTACAAAGGCGCCGAGATGGGACGCTATTCGCAAGACCTGCCCACCATTTTAATCAGGATTTTTGCCCGTCTGGGTTGGGCGTACGATCTAAAGAGCGTCTCCATGGACATGGTGCGGAAGCGCGTCCTGCGAACTGGCGATGGCACCCATCCTGTCTGGGGCTGGGGCGACAAGGAACATCCACAGGAAGATATTGATAGCACGACCATTACCTATAAGAAGAAAGTGAAGTAAACTGAACTATTTTTACGATATTAACATATGTTGTGAAATGTACTATATATTTTTATTTGAAATGCCACAAAGATTAAACAAAAATGAGCCAATACTAAATCCATTAGAAGTAATAATACAATACTCGTAGAGAATTTCTATTCCACGCTTAGCCATCCCTCTGTCCGGGTTCTCATGTCCTTATACACATATATGTATTATCTGTACATTATGTTCGATCTTGGATGGTCCAAAAGCTATATTTCGAAGCAAACAATGTTTCCCACTCTGACTTGTCTTATGACCAATCGTTCTGTTGTCTGCACCGGACTATTACGAGAAATGATTCCATAACGATCGGGAACTTTGTGAGCCGCAGCAAGCGCCGCGGCACACTGGACGAGGAAGCGAGTGTGTGAGAGAGAGAAAGACAAAGCCACTGTAATTTCATTTGTTCCTTCTGGCTATAATAATGATCCGATCTCATACAGGTTAGACACTAGATTTAGCGTTTTTGCTTTCTTCTTTTCTCTTGTCTTCGAAATTGTGAATGCCATAGATTTCACATGTTTAATAATGTTTTCCCAGAGACTTGCACGCTGAATGTTTTTAATTTAATCGAAAATTGGATTAAGTATTTAGTTCGAACCAATCGCGAACATGCAGGAAAGATGGATGTTAGACTAATGTCCGAGGAAAATTAAAACTCAACTTACTAAAATAACTAAGCATGCATTCAAAATACAAATCGTATTACTAATTAAGAGAAAGGTATGTTAAATGAATAGTAGTAGTAGTAGCAATATGGTGGTAATCCGAACTTAAGATGTTTGGACTGATTGATTGATATAAAACTATTGACTATAGATTGCCATCAAGTGGCCCATGCCACACCAAGCCGAAGCCGCCCAACCGACCGAGGGAATCACCGAACTGATCCTTAAACTTACTTAAATAACTTACTTAAATATAATATGGTAGAGGGAATCAGAATGCGAGCATAAGACCCTAAACGGTTCATGCAAGTAATAATTTGATACAAAACAAAATGGACAACGGTATATAGTTTCCAGTGGAACTAATAGGAATAACAAGCCAGGCTATCTACTACACCCTTGATCAAGTTTTGCCTAAAAATCAAATCAAACATTTTTCTTCGATTAACTAGGAAGAGAAGGTTTATTAAAAGCAATCTATAAGGGTAATCTGGCAATCTCACACATGCATCCCAGCTGAGGCCGCGCTGAGAAAAAATGAATTAGATTTTCTGGACTGATTCTATACGGTCCCGGTGTACTGTATACTGAGGGCACCATTCACAGGAGCCGTATTCCAAAATAGGACGAACTAGTATTTGCTATACATGTACGGGTCATCAAATTCCTTTGACCAACTCTTTATAAGCCCAAGCACGCCCAAGCCCTAATTTACTATGGTAGAAAATTGTTCAGAAAACTTTAACTTGGCGTCTAACACCATTACTGAAAGTTATTGAGATCGGATTGCAGGCGACATTAAAGACAAATGTCCTTATACTGGGCACAGAGCATACATGAGTACTCGAGAATATGTTAATACCGAAGGCAGGTAGAAGAGCGTAAAAAGTAAGGGGCCCAGATGGCTGCCCTGTGCTATTCTAGAAGTAGCCTTAAGTGGTAAAGACCATAACATACTGATTGAGTAACGGATACACGGATACACAAGGGACATCATAAACCAAATCTCCAGCGCCAGTTGTTTGTAGGAATCCTGAAAGTGAGCTCCCAATCTATTCCCTAGAGAAGGTAATAAATATATTTAATAGTACGCACGAATATATAATATGTTATGTATACATATGGCTGTTAAATAATATAGCAATTGCTGTTTATTTGTATTGGTTTTTATTTAATTATTTGTTGTTGCTTATACAAACAGGAAACAATTAACTTAGCTTTATTTTTACAATTAGCTCTAATTAGAAATAATAAAAATATTGAAGCTTTTTGTTTTTTTTTTTCTCCTTTTATGTTTTACAATCTTTATGTGTATTATTTAGTTTATAATAATTGGTTTAAATGGTAGTTTTCATATACATATACATATATATGTATGTATGCTTGTATGTGTGGGTATATACACTAAAGCAGCGAGGGGCAAGGAAGGGCGGGGCGGGGGCGGCGGCGACATTGGGGCCAAACTATCCTGAATATACGAGTATATCGCTATATAAGAAGTTGATATTTGGCGTTGTCGCGACTGCGCTCACATTTCCACTCTAACGTTGTATGTTACATTCAAAATTTAGTTAATTCAACTACTAAATATACATGTTACATAATGCTTTTGCTGCTTTCTTGTTTATATATTTTGTATTTAATTTTATTTGTTTAATGTATAATTCCGTTAATTGTTTTTACGTTTCTCTCGCTCTATCGATCTCGCTTTAAGTTTACAATTTTCGTTAGAATTTCTGTTTCTTTCTTTTTTTTTCTCTCATTTTATGTACATAAAAACAAAAGGAACTATATCTTTCAGTCTTTTTAGTGTGTGTGTGTGTGTGTGTGTGTTTGTGTTTTTGTGGGTGTATGTATGTGTCTGTGTAAATGTGTGGCGTGGCTGTGTCGGTGTGCATGTGTAGAATATCTATTGTTTCATTATGTATTTAACATATTTTAATTAATTTAATTGTTTCGTTTTGTTTTTATTTTTAATTTTTTTGTTTTTTTAATAGTTTTTTACTTCATTTTTCAGTGTAAATATCGCTTGCTTCCCAGTTTTGTTTATATAATTAGCACTAGTGTTTTCCTTTTTGTTTTAATATTAGTTCAAGTGGTTTCTTCTGCGCAGAAGCAATTTGTATAATTCATTTAAATATTTAGTGTGTTTCCTTGTTTCCGCCTTGCATCTATTAAAAAAGAAAAAGACACAGAAAAGCAGAATAAACGTTGCACATGCGATCTCTGCTTTTGTTTTACGTTGCTTTGCTTTTGCTTCTTCTTTTTTTTCTTTTAGTTATTAAATATAAATTTTTGCGTGTATAGTTAAATATAATAATATAAAGAGCGAAGGCAAATATCGAATACTTTTGTTGTTGTTGTTGTTGTTTTTTCATTTAAAAATTCCATTTGTTGCAGTTGTTTAACGTTGCTGTTCTGGTTCTGGTTTCTGGTTTCTGGTTTTAAAAGAGAATGTTCTGTGTGAGGTTCTCGTAATGAAATGTGGTTGTTGGGTTGATTGGGTTTTCTTTTGCTAGAATTCATAGAACTGTCAGGATAGTACACTCAGCAAAACATATCACGTTCAGTTCTTAAATAGGGCCCCATATATATGTAAATATATATGTGTGTGGGTGTGTGTTTGTGTGTATATATAATTTGTCTATTGTAAAATTAAGTTTTAAGAAAAAAACAAAATCCGTCCGGTTTCTTGTTCATATTTGAGTTTATGGCGTATGGCAGATAATATTATCTAGGGTCTTCTAGTGAAAGATGTTCTTGTTGTACGGATGTGAGTCTATGGATGTGTGTGTTTTGCTTTGCTTTTCTCATCTACAGCTAGTACATAAAATGCTTTGCTTTTGCTTCTACTTTTCGCGTAGTATACAGACAGCATTAAAAACGACCAGCAGATTGTATACAATTATTTTATACTTATTTAGTATACATATATGTAAATGATGCATCAGTTACTTAAGCTCTCAGTTTTTTTTTTGACATTACGTTACGTGGTTTTCCTTATTCTCCTCTCCGCCATCTCCGAAGCTTGGCTTCAACAGAAATTAATTTAGAAAAGAAATGTAATTGAACAAAAGTTTTTGCGCCTCGGCCGCTCGCTTGATGGTTGCACATACACATCCGCCATCCAAATAGATTGGATGGTACTCCTCGCTCGCTCCATTCAAAATTTACAAAATTCTATGTACAAACGACAATAAATATTACAATTATGAAATGTAAAAAGGGAGAAGAATCAGAGAAATATAAGAAACAATCAAGCAACACTTGGTAAAACAAAAAAAAAGAAGTAATCAGTATAAATAGAAATATAAATTAAAATCCAAGCATTCAATTCTAAAATAAACGCACTAAAAACAATTGCTTGCATGCAGTAAAATTAGTTGAGTACATTTAGATATAGTGTGGGTGTGTGCTACATATCTCTATGTATATGGTGTATATATATCCGTTGGATCTCTCTGGGGGAGGGGGGAGCGGGGGATGGGGGGATGGGGGGGTACAATTATAACTAGCTCTAGCTAAACTCAGTGAAGACAGTAGTTCTGTATTTTGTATTGCTTGTTTCTTGTGTAGTTTCTGTTTCGGTTTTCTCTTGTTCTGCTTGTTGTACATTTTCCATTATTTTTCTTTGCTATTTGCATTTTCCATTGAACGCGTTTTGGTAGGTACTAAAAATTATCATGATAATTATGAATATACATAACGTATAAGTAGAAGTAGTAGGTAATGGTTCATAATTCAATAATTTATAATTGGTAATTGGTAGAATTTGTATGTCTATTTAATCGGTACTTAGGTTGGTTGGTTGTTGGCTTTTGTACTTTTGTTATTTGCATGTAGGACTTGTTGTTTTTGCTTCGCTTTCGCTTTCTGTCTGTTTTTCTGTTTGTTTTGTATTGTGTTAACGGCTCTAGTTCATTGATTTAAACAAACAAAAACTGTCGTGTGTAAATACTAAACGAATACGTTAACATAAATAGGCTTAATCCGAAAATGATTACAGTTTATACATAGATGTGGGGGGGGTCCTAATCCTAATTGTTAATCGAAGCGAATTTACATTTCCCTTGGACATCCATTTCCACTCTATTTACACTCTCGTCTTGTCCCGTCTACGCTTCACGTCCAATAAATCCATTGGGTGGCGGTGGTCGCGTCGAACTGCTGCCCTCCCGCAGCCAGTTCTCCTTCAGCAAGTTCGAAACATTGCTGGCCGCTGCAGCAGCTGCTGCTGCTGCTGCCGCCGCTCCAGAGTTCGCCGCTGCCGTGGGAGACTTTCGCGTCTGGCTGACACTTCGACTG